AAGGTCCTGGGGTCTTATGGGCAGTCTGTGTTTCCTACTCTTGGTCATTTCAAATATGTGACTTGTATCCCTCCTTGCCAAAGGCTGTGTTGGGAATCTTCCAGAGCCCACCAGCCACACATGAGTGTAAGCATGAGTGTAGGCAAGTGGTTCCCTTCAGAGCAGCCTCCTGCCCCTCTCCCAGTGTTAGGGAGACACCTCTCCCCTCTCCCACTCAATAGGCAAAGGACACTTATTCCTCCCTGCAATGACATTATGGGAGGTTTTCAGACTGGGCCCTAGGATTAGAAAATCTTTTTCTCTCTCTTTAAAGCCTGGCTTTCAGGCCCCTCCTGGGCTCAGGAATTCTAATTGGAATGTCAAGTGCTGAACAGTGACCCTTCTTTGCATTCTTGTTGTTAAAATTCTGATTGTCTATGAGACAAGGATGTCCCTGGTTGTAGAGTAGACCTGTCCCTAGAAATGGAACACAAACAGGAAAAGAATACAGACATTTCAGACAGTATCACTCCCTGTGTCACACATGACACAGGTCTGCAGGCCACTACAGGGCCCCTCTCTGCATCTGATACAGTCTCCCTCAGCCCTGACAACTGTACCCTAAGACCTACTCTAGAAGAAATAACTCAGGGGTGGAGGATCTTCTTCTAGGAGAAGAGGGTGATGGTTCCTGCAGGGAGAAGGGAGGTCTCCCCATACACAGTCACAGACACAGGAGGCACTTTCCAGAAATGTTGAGTGGACACAGTGACAGTGGTTAGTGACTGTGCCTGGGGTAATGATGTGGGGGCCCAGGGAAGACTGTGGTCCCTTGGTTGCTGTCCCCACACTGCAGCATAAAGTATTAGCCGCTGTCCTCTGCAATTCTCTTTAATGATCTTTATTGATGTCCAGCCTTCAATCCCGGGTCTGGTACAGCCCTGTGTGTTGCCTTGTCTGGAGTTACAGCTCCTGAGATCAAACCCTGACTCCCTGCTCACCAGCTGAGGAAGCTGCCAAGCCCCTCCAAGCTTCAGTTCATCTGTAAGGTGTGATAAGGGGTATTGTGGTGAACAAAGGCCATCATCCAAAGCAGAGCATTGGTGAGTGAGCCATACATCCCAGTTGTCTACTGGCTTCAAGAAGCCACAAAGACCAGAATTTTGGATGCATTTTTCCCCTTTTTTTGCTTATCTGTACTTTTAAAGTTTTTCGTAATGACTGTTTTGTTTTTTTAGCAAAGAAAGGGGGGGGAGGGGGGAAAGAAAAAGAAGAAGAAACAGAAGGAACCAAAGAAAAAACAGAAAAAACTCCCAGAAGGACAATGGCCAAGGTCCCTCTGAGAGTCCTTGAAAACAGCCACTGCCAAGTTGTTCATAAAAACTCTAATGGGACGAGACAAGCCAGGGTGACAATGCGCTTACTGTCCCATCCCCAGGGGCACAATATAAGGAATGTGTGACATTGTGGTTCATGAGCCAGGTAACTGGTTGGTTAATTGTTCCTCTTGGGAATAAAACAGCCACATACTCTATATTTACAAAAAAAACCACTGCCTTTTCCATTAGATTACAAATAGGTCAGGACCTAGAGACTGAAATTTTAAGGCAACTGTTCACTCATATTTGTTGGCAAGTTCAGTTTGCCAGGACCAATTGGAGAGTGGATCCACTAGACATCTACAAAGTCATTTTTCACTTGCCTGTTATTTTTCTGAGAACATGCAAGAGAAGAGGGGGAAGAACACCAGATTCCCAGATGGATCACCGATGACCAAGGTTCACCAAGACGAGGCCTGGACTGAGCATTGCATTTTGCCAACAGTCTGCCCACAGTTGACCTATTTCAGTGCATCGTGCACATTTGGGGGCTCCACAAGCAGGGAAATGCTGGGGGGGAAGCCATGATGATGGAAGCTGGTTTGGTTGAGAGTCTCCAAGGTCACCTTAGTCCTTCACTCTCCATCCAGCCTTGAGCACAGAGCACACCGGAGGCAGCATGTTGGCATGGCTCCAGCTGAGACTTGTGGCCTCGTGTCCCTAATCCTCTGTCCACCTCTGCTGGGTCTGGTGACCTCAGGTGTTCGCCCCCTGCCCCACAGCCCTCAAGGGCTTATCATGTGTCCTATTATATCTGGACTGTCTGATATTCTAAAACTTTCAGTGATATATCTTAAGATATGACACCAACAAGGATGTTTTGATGATAAGAGCCCTCTTAAATTCCAGAACATTTAGCATAATAATAGTAGCTACATTCTAGGGATTGTATGCTGATCACCATATCCTTTATAATCCTTAGAAATAGACATTTTTTATTTCCTTTGACAGGTGAGAATATAGACCCTCCAAGGTGAAGTGTCTTGCCAAAGTTACATGACTGTTGAGAAGCAGAATCAAAACTTGAAACTAAAACTGTTTTGCTTTAAAATCAATGGCCTGAATTAGTAAATATTTATTTACATATCATGTCTCTTGCCTGCCAACCACCATGTTCACCACTCACCTGATATATGATTGGCCTAAAATAAATATTTGTTGAATGAATGAATGCTATCTCCCCTCCAGACCTAGGGAATGGAGGCATAATCGTGGAATGACAGATCATTGTTTTGTTTTGCAGTTCATTGAACTATTAGGGCCAGTTGCCTATGGCTCCAAGGAGTCCAGCCAACTCCATGGTGCCTATAAAAGGGGGGATGCCTTGTTGCATTGTAGAAGTACTTTAGTTCAAAACTTCTGTAAGATTTCTTTTTTCTTTCTCTGCACTCTGCACGTTAGATTCATTAGCTCTAGCTGTTATAAATCCAAAAAATTCTGAATTAAGTAGAAAACATGAACAAAGAGGCGCCTGGGTGGCTCAGTGGGTCGAGCATCCGAGTTCAGCTTAGGTCATGATCTTGCAGTTCCTGAGTTTAAGCCCCGCGTCAGGATCTGTGCTGACATCTCAGAGCCTAGAGCCTGCTTCGGATTCTGTGTCTCCCTCTCTCTCTGCCCCTCCCCTGCTCACGCTCTCTCTTAAAAATAAACTTTAAAAAAAAATAAAAAGAAAAAAGAAAACATAAACAAAATGATTTTCAAAAGGGAAAAAACTAACTCTAGTTCAAATGGAAATTCCTTGCCCAAAATATCACTTCCTCTAAAAAATATGGCTAGCTTTGTTTAAGGTCATCTGTGGATTGCTGACAACTTTCTAGAAAGGTTTTTGAATGTTTCTTTTTGGCCACTGGGGACAGAACTGCTGAAGCACCAGGGAGCATAAAGGAAATGGTCAGATGGAGGAGGCTGAGGGAAGTGGAAGGCCCAGCGGTGACCCCTCAGGGCTGTGTCAGTATGATGAGAAGGCGGGACCCACATGCCCCAGGCAGCAGGGCCTGTCCCTCTGACCCCACGTCATGGGAGAAGGACTTGACTTTCTCCCACAGATGAGAGTCATTATTAATTACATTGGAAGTGCAGGATGCATTTCTGCCCCTTTCTCCACCCAACCTCCCACAAATAGAAGCCTCAGGTAATAGTAGCTTGCCCTGATACCAGGAGCTAGTTCAGTCAAATGTATTTTTAATTTCAACATCTCCTGAAAATCCTGGCACATTCCCCAGCTAGTTACGTTCCAGTTGTGTTTCTTAAACGCTTAGTTACATAAATTAATATTCATATATAAACATATTTTCCTCCATTGAAAATATTCTTACAAACTGCCATGGAAATCCTGGCATTACATGTAAATTAAAGTAATAACCACCGAAGTAAAACTCATTCAAGCAAATTTCTTAAATCTAAAGAAAAACATGTCGGATACTGAGGAACATAATACTCCATAACACAGAGAGTGGGAAAGAAAAAGCAGTTTCTACATTTTGCCTTTCTTTTATTAAGCCAGATTTTTCTGTAAATGACACGTTTCTGTCAGTTCTGAGAAAGACTTAAGAGGGAAGTAGAATCCCTGCCTGGGGGAGGCAGGACAGGAGCCTTACCAAATGCCACGCCTTCCCCGGACACCCCTCCCCGTCTGCCCCTTTCCCTGAAAGGACTTGAGCCTTGCCCAGCGCATGCCCCGTGTGGGGCATTGTCAGCCCTCTCCAGATTCTTCCATAACCCAGGGGCATCCCATCCTGACACAGTGATAACACCTCCCCCTGTGGGCTCTGCATCCTCCGCCAGCCCTCCGGGAGATTTTAACCCAAAACGCTAGAACTAAAGGACAGGAAGGGTGACGCTGAAAACCCACTTGGGGCTCCCTGTGAGGTTCTTTACGTGAAACACCTGCCAACACATAAATTCGTGGTAATTAGTTGATCCGGGTCCCCAGGGAGACGCCGGACCCCTCCACGGGGCTGTCACTGGTCCCCCGGCTCACCTCCCCCGGGGCCACTGAAGCAGGTATGGCCTCCTCTCTGGGACAATTGATCCAGGCAACTTAATCCCCGGGCGCGCAGAGCTCCAGGGCACAGAGGCCCCGCCCACAGGCTGGCTCAGCCACTCGCAGCCTGAGCAAGGCGAGCAGGGCGGGGCTGGCCGGGCCGAATCCTAGGTCTTAAACGGGCGGCTGCGGGCCCAGTGCAGGGCCTTCTGGATCCCCCCGACCTGCACCTGTGACTGAGATTGCTCAGCTGCACCTACCACAGCTGGTCTGCCCCCGCCAAACCCGAGCAGGGGGGCCATCCGAGGAACCAGCGAGGCCACCTGCCTTGAGGGTCGGAGGTTCGTGGCTCCCAGGAGGCGCTGTCCCCGGGCCTGACCTCTCCTTACGCGGCAGCCTGAGCCTCCGACGCCGCGCTGCGAGGCCCTCCCCTCCCTGCGCCAAGATCTAAATCCCTTGCAAAGTGGGAGGCGGGTCTCAGGGAGGGGAGCAGGGCAGCAGGCCCCCAGCACATCCCACATCCTCAGGCTTCCTTCCCAGCCCTGTGCAAACACTCGGGAGGATAAATTCAATTCCACCTTAGTGGCTCTAACATCTCAGAAGAAAGGAGGATGGCTTGGTCTAATTAGAAACTCATTTCCCTTTCTAGGTTTTGAAGCATGCATCCTTCTCTCTTCCTGGTTGCCCTTTGCTTGGGAATAGCCTCAGCTGCTCCGCAACTCAACCAGAGCTTAGATGAACTATGGTCCCAGTGGAAAGCAACACACGGGAAGCTATATGGCATGGTTGGTAACATTTAAGCTGCACAGAGGGACCCCCGCAGAGAACAGTCTGTGCTGGTGGGAGTTCATAGCAGGGAGTAGCTTCTTGAGGCCGCTCTTACCAAGGCAGTAAGCGGGGCACCTTGACTGTACACAACGTGGGCATATGTCCTGCTGTGTGGTTGCTGGAGAACAGCTCGCAGAAGCATCAGGCCATCCCTGGCTGTGGTTTATCCTCCTGTCTGTGAGCACACCCGCTTGGTGCAGGTGAGTTGGTTTTAAATAGAAATAAAGATGATGAATTATATGTTTGTCTCCAGGATGAAGAAGGATGGAGGAGAGAGGTGTGGGAGAAGAATATGAAAATGATCAGACAGCACAATTGGGAACACAGCCAAGGGAAACACAGCTTCACGGTGGCAATGAATGGCTTTGGTGACATGGTGAGTGTGGCATGGATTGCTGACTTTTTGTGCTTCCTCTCCCCAATACTTTACCAAAAAATCTCATGCTTGTCAAACATTGTATTCCCTTTTCCTTGAAGACCAATGAAGAATTCAAGCAGGTGATGAATGGCCTTCAAATGCAGAAGCACAAGAAGGGGAAAGTGTTCCAAGCACCTCTCTTTGCTAAGATCCCTTCATCTGTGGACTGGAGAGAGAAAGGCTATGTAACTCCCGTGAAGGATCAGGTGGGACAATGTTCAGCAGGTCCCTCTCAAGAGTAAAGGCTAAAGGAATCAGTATCCTTGCTATGGTAGACTGAGAAACAATGTGCAGTTCGCCATGTTTTAAGAGTTTTCAAATCTGTGGGCTGTTGTCAAATCTTGATATTTGTTCTGTAGACTGAGAGCTTTATGATTTGTTTTCAGGGTCCGTGTGGTTCTTGTTGGGCTTTTAGTGCAACTGGTGCTCTTGAAGGACAGATGTTCCGGAAAACTGGCAAACTTGTTTCACTGAGTGAGCAGAACCTGGTGGACTGCTCTCAGGCTGAAGGCAATGAGGGTTGCAATGGTGGCCTAATGAATAATGCCTTCCAGTATGTTAAGGACAACGGAGGCCTGGACTCAGAGGAATCCTATCCATATCATGCACAGGTAAGTGGAGCTCTTTACCTGTCATTCCAGTTCTGTTTTTTAGAGTTAAATACATTTGAAGAAAACAGATACCACATTTAATATGTGCATTTCATTTTTAACGTTTATTTATTTTTGAGAAAGAGAGAGAGAGAGAGTGGAGGAGGGGCAGAGAGAGAAGGAGACACAGAATCTGAAGCAGGCTCCAGGCTCTGAGCTCTCAGCACAGAACCCAATGCGGGGCTCGAACTCACGAATCACGAGGTCATGACCCGAGCTGAAGTCAGACGCTTTAACCGCTTAACCGACTAAGCCACCCAGGCATCGCTTAATATGAATATGCACATTTTAAATTGTAGACTCTAGATCTGCAAACTGTCAGATCTGTCATTAAATTGTATCGGCCGGGCACATTTCTCTGCTTAGATCGTTACCATATAGCTGTTCCTATTTCTATGTTATGTGGTGATATACATACCGTTCTATATATATTGCAAATTTCTTCAGAGCAACAAAATTCTTATGGACAGGTAGACTGAGAGTGTCTCATTAAATACACAGCAGCGAATATTTCCATTTCAAAACAACCAATAGCATTTCAGCGTTAACAAACCTGACTTGGAAATCTTTTACCTGTAAGCTGTCTTGAAGTCATGTTCCCAGTGGATGGTAGTAATCAAGTCTTTTCCCCTTCACCTTTGAAAGGATGAATCCTGCAAATACAAGCCCCAGGATTCTGCTGCCAATGACACTGGCTTCTTTGACATCCCTCAGCAGGAGAAGGCCCTCATGGTGGCTGTAGCAACCAAGGGTCCCATCTCTGTTGGTATAGATGCAAGCCATTTTACCTTCCAGTTCTATCATGAAGGTAAGCTCTATGTAGAAATTTAGGCAGAAAAATGGGGAAACCACCATAAGGTACAGCAAGATTGACTCTTTGTTATGTAGAAGTCGATGTAGAATTTTGGAGGGTGTAGATTTAACATCATTCTGTACATGTAATTTTTGTGCCTGTTGTTTGTTTGACATGACTTGAACCACATCCCCACAATTTTAAGTACGCCATAAATATATTTAAATGGCTATATAGTTCAATTGGCATACTTTAATTTACTTTTTTCTAATTGTTAGACTATGAAACATTCCAAAGAATTTTACCACTGTTGTTGAGATTGGACAGAATCCCTTGGCTCAAGTAATTTAGTGTTCTGTGCTGTTTCCTTAAGCTGACATCCTAAAAGTCAAATCACAAGGTTTCAATGAGTGCTCTTTTAAGCCTCTTGACAGGTTGTTTTATGCTTCTTGCCAAATTGTCTTTCTGCTGGTACTAGATGAGAGCCTCAATCCCTAGCCTAGCTCAGAAAAGATCTGCTTTTAACTCTTATCTGGTGTTATGTCATTTCGCTGAAGGTTGAAATGCCTCCCTTACTCTGGTTGATAGGCTGGGTTGCTATCACATGTCACATGGGAATCCTCACCCTAGCATTGAGTTTCACTTTTCCAGGCATTTATTATGATCCAGACTGCAGCAGTGAAGACCTGGACCATGGTGTTCTGGTAACTGGCTATGGCACTGAAATAGGACAGTCGATAAACAAAACATATTGGATTGTCAAAAACAGGTATAAGAAGCCAAAAATACTTATCTTTAAAATTGAAAAAGGAATCCTTTCCGAAATCAGTGTTTGGAGGCGTGTTCTCAAACCCTTGAGCACACTTCTGAAATCACAGAAGTCTTTACCCTACATAGGGAAAACACAGACATATTCATTTCATGACAACATGAAGACACTGTCTCAAGCTTGCTGAGGTAGTGCTATAGTTTTGGTACCACTGCATTTCTAAATTGGAAATTTTTCGTTATTTCAGAAACACATCTGATCCCAAGTGCTTTGGGGTCTCTCATTTTGCAGTCTGTGAAAGGTCTGGGGATAGAATTCTGTGCTGGGTTAGAATCCAATCATGAACAAGAATGGCCTCTCCTGATTCTTCCTGAGTCTGCCGTAGCCTCTGGTGCACTGCTCAGTATCGGGTATTGTTGTTCATAAAGATAAATGTGTTTGTTTGTAATAAATGGCAAACCCTGTCTTCTTTCAGCTGGGGTGCAAATTGGGGCATAGATGGCTACATAAAGATGGCCAAAGACCGGAAAAACCACTGTGGAATCGCCACCATGGCCAGCTTTCCTGTTGTATGAGATGATCTCTGTAGAAGGCCTTGATTGGGAACAGAATACTACGAAGAAGAATTTTATCTTACAACTGACCACACCTTATTGTGTGAAACAAAACACTTGGAGCTCGAACTTGTGATTTGATTCTGTGACATTTTATACCAGTAAAATGTCACTTCTTTAAATACTGCTTTGAACAGCTTTGTATGATTGATTTTCCTAATAACTTCTGAATTTTTATATTTTGTACTGATGTATAAAGTTTTACCTTTTAAAATAAAACCATTTCTAAGTAGAAGTGGGGTCAGTTTTCAATATATTAACTTTCTGTAGAATAAGGCTGTTAAATAACAAAAACTCAACCAAGTAAATTATAAAGAGCTAATTGGTTCAATGAAGGATTTATGGTTCATGAAGGATTCATGAAGGATTTATGAATCAGGCAGCTTCTCATCTATCTAGCAAGTAGAAGACAGCTCCAAGAGCTACAGAAAAAGAAAGGTTTGTAAAGGTAGAGAGGGAACAGAAAAAAGGAAATTATTAGCAAAGAATCTTATTTTAGGCAAGATCACTTTCCTAAGAAGAGAAAGAGTCTGTTGATGTATTTCCTAGTGCTGACCAGGACATTCCCATTACTGGTTAAAGGTTATATTTCAGTGGGAAGGGAGTTGAAACTGCAGTTAGGTTAGATATTGAGTCTTCATTTGCTGATTTGCTTCATTTACCTAAGTGCTACCACATTGGGCCTGTAGCTCAAAAGACCTAACAATGTGCCCATGGTCCACTAGGAGAATGCTGGGTGGGGTCTGGCTCTTGTAGTTGTAAATAGGCACATGTCATCTCAGCTGCCCTTTGGCTGTGTCTGTCCCAACCCTTGAATGGAGCAAATAGGAAATACTTTTGAGGGCAGGAGGCAAAACTAGTGGAAGATGAGAGTTATTCAGGAATTGTGTCTGCACAGAGATGTGTTCAGTGCTGACTTCCAGCCTCCAGTGATCAGGATGTTCTCTTGCTGGAAACTTTCTCAGGGGAGAAGACCTTTTTCAGGGAAATTTTATGACCTGCTTCTGGAAAGGGGATGTCAGAGATCCCTTCCTGCATCTATCTGCTGCTTCTCAAGTGCCTTCATCTCAAAATAACCAATATGCCACTGTGGCTTATTTTGGAGTAGCGTGTCCTAAACCCCTACATCCTCATTGGGTCATTTGAAAGTCTTAGGAGCAAAACTGAGGTCTCCAAGGGAAGAAGGAATTCGGCCTCAAGACTGGCATAGGGTGTGTGTCTGTGTGTCTGTGTGTCTGTCTGTGTGTGTCAGGGCAGGAAGGTTTAAATCCTATTGGTTGTGTTTCTCTGGAGAACCCAGACTGGTACACAGACCCATCTTATAGACCCACCCACCATGTCCTACTTTCCTGCATATCTTTCTCATACCTTTTCCCCTTCTTTGCAAATAATAATAATAATGATGATAGAAGGTGGTTAGATTTCATTACAGGAAGTGAATACAGAGAGTAAAGATGGTGTTGTCATCAGGTTAGGTGGAGCAAAAGGGCTTAGCATGGTGCCAATATATTTATTTCTTTCCACGTTTGTCTATTGTGATGTCCCTTGAACTAGGGAAGGGATTTATTTCCATGTTCATAAAAGCTGGAGCGGATTTCTAAGTAATTCGCAACTTTCTCAAACCACTGAAGAGCTTTCCACAGTCAACCATCTCCCTACTGCTGGACACTTCGATCCTTCCCATCTTTTTGCTCTTACAGACAATATGTAACTTTAGAAAGGCTCATCTAGGTTTCCCTGCTGACCCCGCAGGTCAGAGGGCTTGCTTATCTAAACTTCCCAACGTCCACAGAGCTGCCACATTGCCATCCTGTGGCCGTCCTGTGATCTGTCTCTCCAGCAGGCAGAAGAGGGCCGTGTCTCAGCACCTGAGGACATCTGAAAGGATCAGTCACTGCTGTTTATTGTGCATCTGCTAAGTGAGAACAGATGGGCCATGTTCTTCTCATTTCCTGATCCTTAGGGAGTCTCACCATCTTCCCACTAGTTTATAGACTATTTGTATTTTTCTCTTCACAAACTGCAGTTTTATATCCTTAGTTTATCTATCTGGGGGGGTGGTTTATCTTTTTTCTCTTAATATGTATGATCCTTAATGTGCCTTTTATTACCTGTCACAAACATTTTCTCCTGCACTTTGGAGTGACTTAACTTTGTGTGGGGGATGTTGTTAAATCGCATCTCTTTCCTTTATACATTTTTCTTGCTGTCTTTTAGTCCCGTTTAGGGTCATAAATATATCTCTTTCATACTTTCGTTTTTTATGTTTAATTCTGGAATCCATCTGTAATACGTTTTGCAAATCCACTTCTATTTTTTTCCCAGACGACTAGCTAATTATTCACCATTCTCTTCCCACTGATTTGAAACAGCATGCCTTCTTCTTATTTTTAAAAAACATCTATTAAAATAATCATATGGCTTTTCTCCTTGTGTTAATGGCTCTGCCTTCCAGTTGCTGAAGCCCATTTGCCCAGAGTACAATGCAAACCAGTGAATAGTCCCACCTTCCCCAAGTGGGGCCAGACCCATAAAGAGTACTTTGGGAAATGCTAGAGAATGGAAAGCAAACCAAGGGGCGCCTGGGTGGCTGAGTTGGTTAAGTGTCCAATGTCGGCACAGGTTATGATCTCATGGCTCGTGGGTTCGAGCCCCACATTGGGCTCTGTGCTGACAGCTCAGAGCCTGGAGTCTGCTTCGGATTCTGTCTACAACTCTCTCTGCCCCTTCCTCTCTCTCTCTCTTACTCTCTCTCTCAAAAATAAATATTATTATTATTTTTTTTTTAGAAAATGGAAAGAACACCTGGATTCCCCCTGAGACAGGCCCAAACATTTAACCTGGGAAGGCAATCAGGAGAGAATGAGAAACCAAGAAGAAAGGGATCCTCAGATCACTTAGACCAGAGATCCCACCAATAATTCTTCTGTCCCCTGCCTATGGAAGGACAGTCACTCAGGCACCATTCCACCAATTCCCTCCAATCTTTGATATGTGGCCTCTGAGAATGGACTGGGGGAGTCCCAAGCTCTTCCCAGCTCCTTGTTTCAGGATTTCACTTACAGGGACCCATGGTCTCAGCCTGAAGAAGGAGGCGTATGAATCGTGCATGGATCTTCTGAGCGTCCACCACACTTATCAAAGCAACACACACCATGACCGAAGGTGCTGTCTCTCACCTCTGTTTCCAGCAAAACCTTCTCCTCATGGCTGTGCAGTCTTTAGACCAAGTGCTGTACGCTCACCAAATCAAAGTATTCCTAAGAGATTTTGAAGTGAAGACTTCAGTTGGGATCTTTGAGATATACATTTCAGATGAAGTCTATAATAAAGTAGCCCATTGCTTAAAATCAGAATGTTTCTTTAAAAAAGAAAATTGATGTGTCCTTTGGAGAGGCTGAAAGCATTTCAATTACATATTAAAATTTTGCCGCTATTGTTACTGCTGCCAAGCCATATTTAGCTGAGGAACAACGCTGAGTCCTGAATTATACACATGCTGACATCTGCACTGGGTTGTATGAACCACCCACCCAAAGCCACAGTGAGAAAGGAGAGCCTTGCTTCCGCCCATGGCTCCTCTTAGTCCCCACCTCCCCACCACCATTGCCTAATGCATTACTTTAGTGGATTTTCTAATGTTGAGTCACTCTTGAATCCCTGGGTTAAGCCTGATGTTGTCCTGATGCACCTTTGTTTTAAGTACTTCTGGACTTGATTTGTCAATATTTCATTAAGGATTTTTGTCCTCTGGGTCCATATACATATATAGTAATTCTTGTGAGAACAAGCTGAGGTTCCTGATGTATATGCCACCCCAATCCCCATGCTGACATAATTTTGAAAAATGATTGATATTTAACTATGCACTCTGGTCAGGCCCTAGGATAAATTAAAATCTTCTCCCCAAAATGAAAATTCAAAGTTAAGGGGTTGAGAAAAGTAGGTATTAATTTTTAAATCTTAACTCTGTTTCATATGTGGCTTAGTCAACAGGTGACCACACCTTTCTGTTCAAACAATTATTGGTCATCCAAATCATCGCTCCCAAAAAAGGCTCAATCTGAAGCTTCAGAAAAATTAAAAGACATAAGATTTCTAACTCAAAACTTATCCAAAGTAAGACAAAAGCTCTTCCGTAACTGCCAGCCATTTAAGTACATGTAAATATACATTTAAATATAGAATATATATTAAATACGTCTATCTCTTTCACAAGAAAGGAAATGAATCACTACAGGATAATACATTAGGTTCAAATTATAAGCCAACCAAGACAAATTCTTAGCTAATCTCTGGACTTTTTGCCGCAAGTCGGTAGTTGCCAATTCCCTGGCTGGCAGACTTATAACTATATCTCTACTAGCTGCCGTCCATGAAAGAAGACAAATCAAAGTTGTTCTTTTCACATGTGGGTTTTTATTTTGAGCCCTTTACACTGAGCACAGAACCGCCTCTAGCGTCTGGATCTGTGACAAGCAGTTCACTGCTGTTCTTCTGGATGTGACTCAGGAGCTTTGCCTTTTGTTACTCATCACCATTGTTTCCACTTATCGTTCATTTAGGGCCCTTAATAGAAGGGACAAGGCAAAGAGAAGACAGCTTGCAGGGTCAAACCCACTACCTGCCTGCCTGGCTTTTCTGTACACAGGTGAGGTATTCCTGCACATCATCCGGGGACCCTAGAATGAGGGGAACTCGTTGGTGAATGGACTCTGGCTTCACATCCAGCACAGGCTGGGTGCCTGTGGTCGCCATGCCTCCCGCCTGCTCTATGATGTAGGACACGGGATTGCACTCGTACAGGAGCCGGAGCTGTGGAGAAACAGAGTTAGGTGGACAAGCTTGGCAAGCTGCCAAAAGTCCCATGCCACACCCCTAAAGCTCAGTGAAGGAATTACAACTGCTGAACTTCTGTCTCATTAGCATGAGCACACTAGGCACCCCAGCAGAGTGGGCTT